TTTGTTCCCTTTTTCTCAGGGGTCATGGTCCTATGCTGCGTGTTTTCAGAGTAAGCTGTTGCTTTGGGGTTGGGGTGGGAGTCCAGTTTTCTGGCTATTCTAAATGAAAAGGGAAACCTAGTGCTGGTTAAAAGCAGAACTCCAGCCTGACTACCCCCATGACTTATTTGTGTTTCTATTAGGAAACTGGTTCCTGAAGGTAATGATTTATAACTGACAGCAGATCCTTTTAAAAATCACACTTGTATGAGAATTGAACTTCCAACATTTAATATCTTAAATGTTATACTGCAAATAACAATGGTGTTTATTAAGTATGCTGAGTTATCCTTTAATGTACTAGAAAAGAAGCTGTAATACCAGATAATGATAAAATGGCCCTTCAAACATCTCTCCATCAAAACTGCAGTCCCGACAGGTGATCATTTCTCTCCTAACCTTTGAAACTTACAGCTCGTTGTGAGTAGTACTTGGTTATATACTTGTATTATTTTCCTCCTAAGTTTCCCTTGACTTGTACTTACAATTTTGTAGATATCATAGAATCACGAAACTTAAGTTCCTGCAAGTACCCTTAGAGGTCACCTGGTCCCGTCTTGTCAGGAGGCAGGTGACGACACAGAGCCAGAGAGGAGGGGCAGCTAAGGGCTCGCGCTCTGTCCAAGCCGCGCAGGCCAGTGTGCTCCGCAGAGCCGCGCTGCCTCCCCTGACTCGGGGCTGTCCCCATCCTGGTGTCTTGTTAGGGAAACTGGTGGGGTGAAAGTGTGAGGGTTGGAGTGGTCAGTTCTCTCATACAGTTGGAATTTCGTTTCGGTATTTTTATCTACAGGGTTTTTTCCCCCTCAATTTAAATTGTATTTAATATAAGCACATACTGATTGTGTAGAGTTCTTGGTGGAGTTTTTTGGGGGGAGATCCCCTCCCTTCCCCTACATAGTGAGTTTAAGACCAGCCTGAACTGCATAGTGAGAACCTGTCTTAAAAACAAAAAACAACAACAAAAAACTTCCTAGCATGAGTTCTGGCCCTACCATTTGTTGCATTTTTTCCTGTCTCAGTTTTGCTGTTTATATACTGTAGGTAGTAATACTGCCTATCCTAAAAGTCAGAAGTGAGTTTAATTAATTGACTTGTTTTCTTGTTTTGTTTTATTTTATTTTTTTGTTTTTTTCCAGTACCGGGAATCGAATTCACGACGTCGTGCTTGCCAGGCACTGTGCCACTGTGCCTGGAAATTTTCCACTGTGCCACTTGCCAGTGCCACTGAGCTAAATCCCCAGCCCCTAGTTAATAGACTTGTAACCATGTTATTTGTAAACTGTTGGCTAAGATCAAAGGGCAAAATTAATTTAGATTCCTTTCTTGCCCAAAGAGCAAACAGTCTTAGGTTTTCTTTTTGCCTTTTTCATATGTACTTTTAGAAAAAGAACTCCTATTCAAAAGACCAGTTTGTATGTTTTCAGTTTCATAAACAGAATCACAGTAATCAAGATCTGAGTTCTTCAGGGCCCTCTATTTTTACACATGTTTTCTTATGTGACCGTGTTAAGAAAGATTACATCTGTTTGTTGGAATTCTTGTGATCTCACTTGAAATCATATGGTGCATATCATAGGTCTTCACTTTGGGACTTCTGATTTCATGTACCAACTTCTAACTTGATTTTCACTATTTATGTTTGGAAGTTTGAGGTCTTCCTTGAGAAACTTAAATTTTTGTGTTGACATTTTTAATATTGTAATTGTAATAATTCACAGTTATCCTATTTGGATGTGTCTCAAGATGTGAATACTTAGTGTAAAGTAGAGATTATCTGAAACAGTTGGTATCCTCTGATACAGCATATGTAGAGTCTAAATCTTTAAAGATTCAGTTTTGTAATACACGTACATATTTATAATTAACCCTTAATTTTTCTGTTTGTTTTTGTATCTTAAGTTATTTGTGCTGCTTAAAAAATGCTTAATTTTCAACTTAGCAGAGGACCCCAACTGGGACAGTTGAAATGAAGACATTTTTAAGAACACTAGAACTTCAAATCAAGCCTTAGTGAAACTTACTTACTCTTTCTGTTGTGTGGCAGCTGTTGTGGTCTTCAGCTTGAGGGGTGTATTTATTCTGTATGTGGGCACAGCCTACACAGCCTTAGAATATTTCAAATAGGACCTTTTGGTTTTGCAGCTGTACTGTGAGAGGTCTGATACCATTCTGCATTGTGTAAGAAGACAGAGCAGAGAGTTCAGTTGTGTGTTGTGGAGTGTTGATACTTCCAGACCTGTCCAGTTTCTGTTATTATTTGAGAAGACAGAATTGTTTTCCTTTTATCTTAGAAAATTAAAGCTCATGAAAATACTTAGTATACATTCGGGGTCAGGAGAGAGAGAAGTAGAGAAGAAATTTTCCATTTCCTTCCCCTTCAACCTTGACAAGCTTCTGAGGGTAGTAGTTGGCTCTTGGCGAGCTGTCTGACCTTGGAGTAGAGAGACCCCTTGGTTCTGCCCTTGCGCATTGGTGCTCCACAAGGAGGGCATGGGCTTGCTGTTGAGAGTGTGCTATTTTAATTTCTTGAGAAGAGCTTTTGGCTGTCTGTGCTGTACCCTTGAGTTTGTTAACATGATTGCTTTATTTAAAATGTCCATAATGCCGATGGCTGCCTGACAGCATCCTGGGAGGTTGATTTACTTTTAACTAGGAGCCCTTTGCAGAGAATGCCCATAGGGATCACGTGTCCAACAGAAAGCCCCTGAGTGAGTCTCCATTTTCATGTTTAGTAGGCATCTGCAGTGGGCCTTCTCCGCTGTGTTGTTCCACGAAGTCCAGGGGTGTCAAGTTCGGTCGTTTGCACATAGTCACAAGTCCACCCACAAGCACCGCAGGTTGTCAGTGAGATGCCGCTGTTCACACGTGAGTGCCTCCATAATATCTCTCTCTTGTTTGCTAGGCAGAAGATGGTGTTAGTGATTGCAAGCTGCTGGCTGCACCTGCAGAGCAGGAGTGAGTGAGTGCTGCTCAGCTCTCCGGCCCTGTGAGTCCGATGCCTTTCCTCCATGTTCTGGCATCACTGCCAAACACACACATTGAAACCCTTCGTGATCATCAGTTTGTCAGATGACTATAGTGTTACAAAGAGTCTGTCCAGGTCCTTTGTATTTTTTCTTTTTTGTCACCTTAGTGTATGTCCATTGTGACGGGGCATAGGCATTGTGATGAATGGTGGAAGAAGGCACAGTACATATCAAAGCCAGACTAGAGACTTGGGGGTTAGTGAATGATTGCAGCCTCTGCAAGAGAAAACTTCTTAGAGTGCCAGTGTCGTCAGCCAGTGCTGCATGAGCTTTTGTGCGACAAATGGACTTTGGCCTGGTCCTGTGGTGCTGCATGTGTTTCTCAACAGTTTGCTCATACTTGTGGATGGCTTCATGGTTTGGTATACTGTAGCCGTCTGCCACACCTGTGTCACGGGCTCAGGATGCTTCCCATTGGCTTGCACAGTGCATCGCTGAGGAATGAGCACTCAAAATGCAGCAAACCCATGAGTCTTGATTGGCAAAAGGCAGCAGTTTCCGAGTTACCTCTTGTGCTGTGCTCTTCTCCTTCAGGACCGTCTCATGGCCCAGGGACAGGAGAGAGTGCTGTGGGAAGAAAACCCCACTTCTTTGCATAGAACTGTGTGATTGGGAGGCACCATAATCATCAGACTTACATATTTGTGGCCTCAAACAGAATGGCACCATGGTTCCATTTGAGATGGTCTGTTTGTGAATAGACATTGTATTTCATGACTGAGTCCAAAAGACAGACCTTTTGAGCATCTTCCTTAAGCAGCAAGTTTCTGTGTCTTTATCTCCCTTGTTTGCTCTTGTTAGGTAAGGCCCTTCCCTTTGCTGGGTTAATTCCTTCACTTTTAAAATCAGCGTCATGGGTAGAAACTTACTACTGTGTGTTAAGGAGCAGCTCACTGGGAGAGTCAGAAGGTGTGTGTGGCTGTGTATGTGACTGTCAAGGGTTATGTCACAGTATCATCCTTTCATTTGGAGAATATTTAGATCCCATTCCAGTGGGGAGTAGAACCCTTTTGTAGTAGAGTGCTTTTGCAAATTTACACTATATTTAAGATACCATGTGGAGGCTAGCTTTAGCTATGTAGTGTCACTACCTGTAGTCTCAGGCCTTCGATCCATTTGCACAGAAATCAACTAGCTAGAAATTTAGATTGGAAACAACGAAAAAGAATGAAAAATTAGGATTTTTGATTGCAAATATAAGTGAAATGAAGTTGATCTACATTTATATGTTACCTCTCTTCTGGTTTCCTTATGAGATGTCTTTCTCTTGGTTACTAGTTAGGGATATTCTTGTAGAGGAGTCACATCTAAGAAATCCAAGGTAAGGACTGTGTGGATAGATACCCTACTTCTCCTGGAGCACATGAGTGACTGCATCCTCTGATAGGGAGAGAACCTACAGAGCCCCAGCATTTACTATGGGCCAACTTTAATTATAGTGTGTTTAGATGTAAGAAGAGTATCTACCTCATGAAGTAAAAATGGGGGAAAAAAACCACTATTTAATAAAGAAATCTAATTCCTAAGTGTAGAAATCAAACCTTTAAACTCCGTTTACTTAAATTGTGGGCTTCAGGATAACTAGTTACAATTTTGATAATGATTATAAATGACAAGCAAGTTACTGAGTTACAGATTTTTGTCTAGCCTATTAAATGATTTAGGTACTGCAACTGCATAATTGATTTTCGTTAGGGTAATCATTCAGTTGATGTGCAATACCTTACGATACCTCTGTGCAGTACTGAAATGATCAAGCTTTCCTTTGTGTTTGACTGTCTCCTTCCCTCTGCCTTAGTCTCCCTTCGGAGTTTTTAAAGTGTATGATCAATGAGCTGTTGACTAATTTCTTGGTGAAGTGAAATACAAATTTGGATTGTGGGAATTTATGATTTGGAGGCATCTGGCTTATCCTTGTTTTTGTTTGTTAAACAGGAAAAGGACCAGCGCAGCCTAGACATAAACACTGCCAAGTGCATGTTGGGACTGTTATTAGGAAAAATCTGGCCTCTTTTTCCAGTTTTTCACCAGTTCTTGGAGGTACCAAATGTTACTTTATGAAATGTATGTTTGCTTGCTTAGAGCTGTCAAATATAGTTTATTTAGCTGTTCTATGTAATTTTTGTGTTTGTCGTACTTTTCTACTCTGGTGCCATAGTTGGTGCCCGTCAGCAGCTGCCTGCTCGTTGGAGTGCCTCTGCGTGTGCGTGTTGGTTGCGTGTGTCGCCCTCCGTTACGGCGCAGTGGAAGTGGCCGCACTCGCCCTCTCCTCTCTTGGCCCCTTTCAAAGCCTCACTGCTGCTTAGATTTCCTGTTCTTCGTAACAGTGGAAAAAAGCAGGGTTCACTTTGTTTATGACTTCAGGTGAACCTCTAGTTTTATTGAGCAGTTTAAAGAACAAACCGTCTGACTTCTTAGTAAAATTAATTAGTAATCTATTCTCTCTTTTTTTTTTTAGAGAGTAGTAAAAGCAAAAAAAAAAAAAAAAAGAACAACAGCAGTGTACCAACATCACAAACATAAACGAAACAAAGCAAGAGTATTAAAAGTGATACAGAGTTTCAAGGCAAAATGATAGGAATTAACAGTGGCTGTTATATCACATATTGTCGTCTTCAACTGCGTTGCTCAGATTACCGGATATAAGAATGGAAGATTGTCCAAACCATTAAAGAGAACAAGAAAACAATTATTAGATAAAACATTAGAGATAATAGAGGGTCTCACTAAACAAGATGGTAGGAATTCACCATGGTAGTTCCATTGCATATTGGTGCCTTCAAATCAGTTGCTCAGATTACCAGATAAAAGCATGCAGAATTGGTCAAAACATAAAAAGTTCTAAGCAGTAACTGCTCCTTTTAGTATGCCATCAGTCATCAGCAGTACAGTTATCCTGGCTATTCTTTTTTTTTTGTCCTTGCCTTCTTTTTTCTTCTCTCTCATCTCCAAGTAACTTCGGGGAATTTAGAGCAATGTATGTCAAAGTGACACTGTCTCCTTCAGTTTATATTTTCTTTGGGTCCATGTTAGAAACAACCCAACTCTTTATTCTGTCAGTGTTTGCATTACACATTGACCAAAAATTCTGAGCTGCTGGTTGCGGGGGGGGCGGGGGGGGTTGGTTTAGTTGGAGTGTCCTACTGTAGGACCCGTGTCTGACACGTGTTCAGTGCCGTGGGTTGTCACACATGGCACCCTCCTTGCCCTTCTGCCTCAAGCCCTTTTTTAAAAACCCCCTTTGCTTGCAAAAATGATACTGGGTCTTTGAGAAGATCCTAGGCCTACTCTGCCTCTAACTTTGCTCTTGAAATAATCTTTCTTTGAAACTTACTTTATGTAATGGTTCAGAAAAACGTAACTATTAACAATTTTTAGAGGGCTGTTACTCAGAACTGCTCTTAATATTATTAACTAGAACTCCTCAGGAAAGCTACAAAAACTGGTTTTAATAGAAGTGTGTGTTTGCATAATGGCCCATTCTATATTCGGTCCGTCCTAGCTTCTCTGACAAGCCACGAGATAAGCTAACACTGTTCGGGACAGAAACAGAAACGCTCCTGCTCTCAGAGTGTTAGGCAGGGTTCAGCCTGAGTGTGAAGGCCTTCAGCTGAGCAACTTGGCTGTGAGGAAATTCGACTGCACAGCTCCAGGGGTATCACCAGCTGTGTCAGGACTGGTTCTAGGGTTAGTGCTGAGACGTCAGGCTTGAAGAGTGTGATTTGTTCTTACAGTAGTTCACATTTTGCTTTTAAAAAGAGACAGTAGTTCTTTTAGCTCTTCTAGTGTTTGCAGCCTCAAAACCATTGGCCTCTCTTTGCTTTTTGTGTATTGTATTATTTTATTGTGTTCCTGAGTTGATGTGATGGGGATTCAAAGTGGTTAGTTCTAGATTTTATTTTTAAATATTTAGGGTATTTAAAAATACATTTTTTGTCTGAGGAATAGAGAAACTACTCCATGGCTATTCTAGTTGCTTCCATGATCCCATTCAGGTTTTGAGTTGTTAAAACAAGTCATTTTCTTCAGTGGTTAGAGCACCAAGCTGTGAGGCTGCTTTGTAGCACTTACCTAGGTTCTCACAGAGCAGTGACAGCGAACCCATGAAGCACCCATGCTGCTTCATGCAGTGAGTGACACCACGTCAGGACGATGAACGGGAGCCCCTCTTCATTTAGTACTTAGTTTGTGCCAACTACTTGATGAAGTGCTTTATATAAGTGACATGTTATCTCCTAATCCTTGCAGCATTGTTGGGAAGTAGGTACTATCCCCATTTTATATAAAAGGGTTGTAGCACTTTCACTTCTGGGGGTGTTTCTTACAGTTTCTTTGATGTGTATGCCGTCTTGGATTGGACTCCCAATAATATTTTTATAATGACAAGTATCATATGAAATTCTGATCTTGCCCTCCCTCACCATCCTTCTAGATTGGTGCTGAAATGGAAAGTTAACCCCTACATTAACTTTATTTAAAGTTGGTTCATACAGGAAGCCATCCCATTTGTTCAAGTGTCAGTAATTCGTATTACTTTCCCCTCTACCAGCAATCAAAATATAAAGTGATTAACAAAGACCAGTGGTGCAATGTGCTTGAATTCAGCAGAACAATTAATCTTGACCTCAGCAACTACGACGAAGATGGAGCATGTAAGTACTGGGTGACGACTGGTTCAGGTCTCCCCCCTCTGCACATTCAGTTGCTCCTTGGAAGAAGCCTGAGAGCACCTTGTTTTTTCTCTCTCCAGGGCCAGTCTTGTTGGATGAGTTTGTGGAGTGGTATAAAGACAAACAGATGTCCTAGGACTGTGTGCATAGCAGCGAGAGAGTCACTGTTACTACAGTTATGTCACCCATTAGCCATAAATTGCTGTTTGTATCAAAGCGCATGCTGCTTTCTTGCACTGTCCCCCTTTGCAGGGGTGTTTTGGTGTTTGCTGTTGAATGGGCCAGCTCTGCTTGCTGTGTAGCATTGTTCTCTTGGAAGGCTGCTTTCCAGTTTGTATTTACACTACAGATTGGTGAATTTGCCAATGTCCTCACTGTGACTATGTGTATATTGCTGTTTAAATTTTGTATATGTGTATAAAAAGCTTCACTTAGAGATTATTTCTGCAAAAATGTATTGTAAAAATAATTTTGTGGCATATTTCTAGTCCCTTTTTTCAAATGAACCAGTTATATTTTATTTGGTCTCAAATGTAGCATTTCAGAAAACAAGATAAAGCAACTGTTACTGTGAGCAAATGTTGCCAGAATTAACCTTACTGTCTAAGAGGCCCAGTTCTGGAAGAGGAGGTAGAAGTGATAACTTTTCAATGGCTCATGCCAAATACCATTTGTTTTACTTGGTAACATTAGCGTTCTAAAGTGATGAAAATTGTAATTATTGACCGTGTAACATGCCACAACTGATTTTCACCATGCAAGATAAAGGGTTTCTGTTTTGTTTTGTTTTTTTTTTATGTTAAAACTATAGTAGCTTGAATACAGGTACAAATGAACAAATTGAAATTGCACCTTTTTAAAAAAAAATTTGGGTTTAAATTCTCATAAACTTTCTTTAATGTTTTTCTTTTTTGCCCTTTTGGACCCTTCCCTCCAGTGTTTGGTCTGCTGATGTTCTGTATGCCACTCGAACTAAAGTTTGTTTTGCTGCCTCCATGAAAACATACTGGCTTCCTGGCAATTTATAACTGCAGAGCACTTTTAGTTGTGGCTTGAATCTTTTAGTTAGATTTCACGGTGTCTAATTTTCTAGTTTTTTGGAAGAGAAACTATAAGTGAGAGGTGTTTTGTTTTGTTTTGTTTTCCTTGTTTATTTCATGCTAGGCTTTTCCTGGCAGCGTGTTCATTGCAGGCAGTGGACACGAAACCACCAGCATTGAGCTAACCCCGGTCATACTCTAGGACCTTTCCTGGAGGGGCCACTTGTCATTACCTGAATCATTTGTATAGAAGAGTAATAGTCATTATTTATGTGTGTGAGGAAACAAGGATGGTGTGTTTAGATTTGTATTTTATGTCTTTTTTTTTTTTCTGCCTTGAGAAAATGTATAGATTACATGTTTTCACCCCACCTATCTGGTGCTATTGAATGACTAACCTGGTCCCTAAAGTTTTGTGAACATACAAAGGTCTAATGATTGAACCAAGTATAGAGTTAAGGTGCATTGAGCGAGTAATTGCTGTGGTTGTGGGCAATATCCATGCTTGACCGTGTAATAATGTGGATTATTGGCCAAAAAGTTTTTAGATTAAATGTGAACCTTTAAATGACGTTAAATGAGTAAAGCACACAGACGATGCTACTCTTGACCATTGTTTTACAGTTTCTTTGCAAATGGTGTTCTGATTTTCGTATTATTTTTCCCTAACTGAACCACCAAAGACAGAAATCTTGTGTATATAGTGTGTGTGCATATACAAAATCATGATATGGTAGAATGCAGCTATTTCCTTTTTCCTCGGAACAATAAGGTCTGGTTTGCTGTGAAATAACCAGAAGTTTTAAAAACAGTAGTGATTAAGCATCCTTAGCCATCCTTTGTTTTTAGTCTTGCTTTTAACCTTACAAATTTATATCCGTTCGCATAAATTTATGTCTGGAGAGAAAAGGAGATGTCAGTGGTAACAGCAGCTCTTAAGACTGCCTCAGTGGAAGGCGGTATTTGTTACTGCAGTGGGAATTGGCCATTGGCAGGTTTGAATCTGTGAAGGATTGAATTATTTTCAGATGCACCCCAATGAGATGTTTAAATATCATGCTTTACAGGCTACAGGTCTTAAATTTGATCAACCTCTGTTTTACTGAAAGCAAATATAAATCATAGATGGAATTCTTTTAAATGTTATGTTAGAATCTGGAGAATTTTTTAAACGCTAAGCACAGTTAATCCTAAAATAAAAAGATTATTCAAAGGGGGACATGGTACATTTCATCCACAGCGAACTTTTTGATAAGAGAAAAACCCAAGTAAAAACAATTCTAGGATTGATACATGATATGAAAGTATTTCAGTGGGATAATCTTATGTATTTAAAAAACAATCTCTAAACTACCTTCAGAAATAAGCTTCTGTGACTGCTGCTTACAGAGAGCTTGCCCTTGGTTTTCTTCATTTTACATATTTTAAGGGAGAGTAATATGACATGTTTTCTTAAAAATTTGCCCGAGTTACCCAATACCAAACAATTCGTCAAGCACTTATTTGTAGGCTAATGTCTAATAAATTAGGGTGCCTTCTTCTGCTTTTTCTTTAGTGCCCTAGTGTAAATCCTTTCTGTTTTGCCTTGTGTTTTGAAGTCCAGAAGTCCACTTTGCAGTGCTCCGTTGTTGGGGAACACAACTGTTCAGGTCAGAAATTTCATTGTTTGATTTGCCATAGACATTCACTGTAATGTTTGTTATGTGCCCCTTTTTGAAGCATGAACTTTGAGTTAAGTTTTCATAAATCTAATTCGACAGACCTCTAGATTCTGGATTAACAACAGTTTTCTGTTGCCTCTTCATCCCCATTCTGACAGCGCTTTTGACATTTATACAGAAGGCTTTAAAAGTTAGTTCATGCCGTCTGTTTTTATTCTTACAACTGCTAAGATACCTCTGTGAGCCTTATCCTTTATTCTTTCGTAAGCTGTATAATAAGTGTATAGAACTCACTGACCAACTAAAATGTTGGGTATCTGTAAATGAGACCAAAATGTGGGTTGCTTTTTTTTTTTTCATAAAATAATTTCTATTGGGGGTTACTGTTAAATGAACAGCAGCTAACCTATAACTGTGAATGCTTCGTGTCGTCAGTATTTGCATTACATTCATAAAAGTGTGCAAGTCCTGTGACTCCCAGCTTAACTAAAATACTGTTATGCCACCTAACTTGAGTACAGCATACTGGTTTTAGGTTTTAATGGAATCGGTGTAAAATGATATCCCATAAATAAAAAAGTATTTGTGTTTGATTTCAGAACTGGTTTGTGAATTCTTCCCTTTTGTTTTTCTTCAAAAACTGTTTAGGGTAGTATTAAAGTTTTTGGTTTTCATCTTTGTCTATTTTTCTCAACTTCTGAAAAACTGCAGAGCTACTGAAAAAAAAAAGCAAGAATAATACAATCAACAGTTAACTATATACCTGTCGCTTAGATCTTAATATTTTACCACATTTTCTGACCCACAGTGGGTAAGAAAGAGAGATTCTCTGTAAAGAACATTCTTCTGTGAATTATTGTTGTGAATTACATCATTGCATATCCTGACTTTGAGAGTAAGACATTTTTCTGTAACCGTGATGCAGTGATGCTTAAGAAATTTTTCAGTCAAGAAATTTTACTTTGATATAATTATGTCTAATATATAGATTTAAAGTCTCTCCATTTATACCAATAATGGCCTTGATTACTGTTTTATTTCATATCTAGGGATAAGCATTTTGTTTAGTTGTCAGGCTTCTTTAATCTGTAATTCAGATCACTTCCAAAACAGAGTTTTAAATGTTTTCATTAAAGAAAGTATAAACATTCAGCCAAATAGTGATTTTAAAAAATATGGGGCTGGGGATTTAGCTCAGTGGCAAAGTTGCCTGCCTGGCAAGTGCAAGGTTATTAGTTCGATTCCTGGTACCGGAAGAAAAATAAAACAAAACAAAAAATATATATATACTACCACGTGTTACGTATTTCTAAGTATTAAGCTAATGACTGAGTGCTTGCGGTGGGCCAGCAGCCAAGCAGAAGGGACTGCTTTTACTCCCCCAGCGCTACCGCCCACTGTGTCTGCATCAGCCTGGTATCTTGCGCTAGGGACGGCCGTATCTTACATTCGCAGTTAAGCTTACTGAGGGCAGGGCCTCTGGCAGATCAGGGATGGCCGGAAAACATTTGTGGAAGGGAGCAGTTGACAGAGTTCTCAGTCTGGACAAAGAATTTTCAGTACCTAAGAATCCAGGAAGAACTAGATGTAAAGGTGAAACAAGCCTCAGTAGGAACTGATTGGAACTTCACGACTGTTAATTACTTGAACACAAGAGAGAGGAATTAGAAAACAGGATTCCTGAGAAAAGAATCTACAGTGCTTAAGTACTGTTTAAATTGGTGATATGAATGTTTCTTTCAACTGAAATTTGGGCCAAAAGCTGAGAATCAAACAGGAATATCTTCCTTCTTCAGACACCCAGAAGGATGGAAAAGCTAATCGCAGGTGGATGGAAAGGAGGGGGAGGTGACCGGCGTTAGGATCGGGCTCTCGGGCTGAGTGTGGCCAGCCGCAGGAGAGCGTGAGCTACGTTACTGACTGAGGAAACAGGAGCCCAGGATGCACTCCGCTGGGCAGTGCCAGCAGGCTCATGGGAGTCAGCGGCAAGTGGGGAGCTCTCCAGGGATGTAACCGGAATAAGACGCGTGGGGTCGGGGACAGATCACGAACGTCTGTGAAGGCAAGACCGGCAGAGGCACACTGCAGACGTGTCGTGAAGGAAAAGTGTTACAGGAAGATCACTAAAGGAAGGACGTTTTTAGGCCCTCTGAGACAACAGGATGGAGAGGAAAGTGGAAAACGTGCACAGAGAAGTCAGTGTGAGCACATCCAGTGAGCCCCCAGGCTTCAGAAGTGAGGAAGAAAATTGGGCTTTCTTGCTGCACCCACATCAAGGCAGGACACACGTTCCGTGCTTGCTGTCGCACCAAACTTGGAGTGGTGCTTTCGAATCCATGTGTGAAGAGCAGGTTAGAGAAAAGTGTCCATGATTTTTCTTTTAAAAAGAATTATCTTTGTAATTTTGTTTTACAGCCCTCCGCCCAAATAAATAACTGTCATATGTAGAAATAACAGATTAAGCTCTGTGGCCTTGTTCACTTACCAAAGCTTGTAAAGGAGAAGATAATCCTCTATAAAGCATGTATACTGCTTTTGGCATATTTTCAGCAGGAAAAATATTTGCCTTTTCCCTTGCCTGAATTTGTTCTTAATGTTTATTTCCATTGCCTTAACAAAAATACAGTTATTCCATGTGTAGAAGTACTTGCTTAGAAATGATGGTGACTAAGCAGGCTGTGCCAGGAGTTGGAGACGGAAAAAACAAAGGTTGACGATGCTAAATAAACGCAAGTGCTAAAAAACACTGAAAGTGTAAGTCTGATTTCAGGACTTCGTTCAGTATTTTGAAAGAAATTCCTTTAAATCGCTCTGAAGAGAACAGACTGAAAGAGACCAAGAAAGTAAACTTGAGGCTTTTTTTTCCTTTGACGTTTTCTAGGAGTGACATCCCAGAATTGCCTCCATTTGAATATCTAAAATGACAAACTGTGTTCTCTAGAAACGTGAGGATCAGTGTGTGAGGATGAGGAGGGGGAGAGCTGCCCTTGTTACCAGTGGACGGCGTGACCGGACAGCTCAGGGCCGGCTTGCGGTAGCGTGAAGAACGCCTCCACGTCTTGCGTGTCTCCTTTCAGTACTCGCTTTTGCTCCGGTACCTGTGGTGGTTCCTTCGTACTGCACTTGAGGGTAGGGTTAGATGCATTGTGACTCTGTCCCAGGTAATCCCAGCATCACTGGATAGAATAATAGATGTCTGTCTGTTAGAAACCTATTCTGTATGTCTCAGAGTGCTAAGTCTTCTATTTTGAAAAGTTCTTACTCCTTACACATCAAGCTTTTCAGATTCTCAGTATAATCATTATATAAACAAGTTTTTAGTTGTGTGCTAGACAAAATTCCTGTATGAAATTGGTAATTAATAAAAGCATACAGAGGGCCTGGGAGATAGAAATCAGTAGATTGAAGAATTGGCCTGTGAAGCCCCATGTTGAGTCACTGGCGTCAGGTGCTCACAAACGGTAGCCCAGAAAGACACTGGCTGGGTTGGAGCTGAGAGCTCCGGGGGCACAGGGAACGCAAAGCCAGGTCTGCTCGGTGCGGACCTCTCCTTGGTGGTCCTGTGCACTCCCATGGCTCTTGTTTTTAGAGTTGTGCTCCAGAGCCTGGATGTCAGCAAGCTGGAATGAGTTTAGGGATTTAGTTGAAAGCCAGTTAGTGGCTTATGGACATTATTTAGCTCCTCTTAGGTGAGAAGGTGGAAGGCCAAGCAAAGGGCTTTACCCTCATCTCACTCACATTTAGGTGAAATGTATGGAGAAAATGATGTTTAGATAGTGTGATATTTTAGCCAGGTGTGGTGGCGCACGCCTGTAATCGCAGAACTCAGATGGCTGAGGCAGGAGGATCGCTGCGAGTTCGAGGCCAGCCTAGACTACAAAGTGAGCTGAAGGCCAGCCTGAACTGCATAGCGAGACCCTGTCTCAAAGAAGGCAAAAAAAAGAAAAAATTCAATAGGGATAGCGTGATATTTTATGTATGTTTTATGTGTGTGTATGTGTTTGTGTTCAAGGCCAGTCTTGGGGACTGAACCCCCAACCTGGAATCTGATGGAATCTGATGCTGTCTCCAGGTAGTGAAGGACTGAGTCAAGCCAGAGGGTACCCAGATGGTGTCCAGTGCTGCAGACTGACTTGCTTGAGTTTAACTTCCTTTAGCTGAGGTTTAAACCCAGGTTCGTCTCCGCCCCAGGGGTTTGGTGGGGAGGCCACAGAGCACCACGGAGCACCACAGAGCTGAGAGGGCGAGGTGTGCGACCGTGGGGGCTGCTCGGCTCCTTGTGCCCTCCTGACACGGTTTTGCAGCGCAGCCCGCCCTTCCCGAGTCCTGGATCCAGTGACGTGTTTCCTTCCTTCCTTCCTTTTAACCTTTGCGAGAATGGCATACAAATGGGGTCCTACTATGCGTAGGCTTTTATTTTTATTTCATTTTGGGATTTAGTCATGAGACTGTGGCTGGTACCTTTTCATTGCTGGGCAGGTGTGTTGTTTGGAAGTGGTGATGGGCATTCAGATTGTTTCCAGTTCTGGGTCATTATAAATAAAGCTTCTGTAAATACTCACATGTGGATCTTTGTATGAATAAATGCGGTTGTTTTGAGTATTTTGGAGGTTAGTGGAACTGTTGGGTCATATGGTAAGTGTGTATTTATAAGAAATTGCCAAACTGTCTTCCAAAGTCATTATGCCATGTAGCACCTACCGGAGCATGTGAGGGCTGTAGTTGCTGCCTCATCCATGTTTTACATGGTCAGTATTCTTAATACAGGGCTGGGGATTTAGCACAGTGGCACAGCGCCTGCCCGGCAAGCGTGAGGTCGTGAGTTCAATTCCCGGTACCGGGGAGGGAAAAAAAAAGACTAAATTACAGTTTTAAAATGTTAGCCATTCTAATAAGTATGTATTGCATGCTTCACAACTTACAAAATTTGTTAAATGTATGGTGGCATGTTAACTAATCCAAGGCTAGGAATGCATATATAGTTTGAGCCAATTCAGCCCACCAGGAAATAACAGGTCTTTCTTGCACATTAAATGAGTAAGTAGAATATCCTCCAGCGTGCTTTGCGAGAGCTGCTTTGCCGTGTTTCCTGGCTGGGAGTTACGCACAGTCTGTTGCTGTGGAGCAGGGATGCTGTGAGAGCTCTCGGTGATGCACACGGCTGCCTGCAGTAACGGCGTGGGCTTGCCACCGCTGCTGTGCACAGCGGCTGAGTGTTTGTGCGCGGTGATGCTCTGTTCCCCTGGGAACAGAGCTACAGCCCGATGACTGGGGATCGCCCATATAAACTTCACTGTGATAAGATTTTACATTCACGTACTTGGTCATGAGAGTGAAATTAATTTCTGCTCCATCTGTTCCTTGAGAATAAACGTGTGTGTGTGTGTGTGTAATACAAATTATCGTTGAGGTGTTAGGTTATAGATAATTGCTTTTGCTTTTATCCAGGGAGAGACAGAGTTTGAGAGGCTGATAGTTCTGTTCCACAGTTCACAAAGTGCACTTTCCACACACTCCCTTGAATCACACAAACACGCCATAAAACAGGTTTTTAAATTTTTTTCATGTCACAGTTGAAAACAAAAAGCATATGGGTCACAG